GCGTTACAGAGCCCAAATGGCATTACGGTATACTCATAATGCCCGTAACGGGTATTAAATGCTGTCATCCATTCATCTCCTTGTTTAATTCGCACTAAGTTATATGCTCCTCTTAAGTCAAGTTTAGTAAAAATACTCGAGCCCTTTAGTCTGTCAAAGAGTTCAGTAATCAAAGGAATAGGGTAAGCATTTCTGATAGTAATTTTGTTCAATCCCCGATAGTCTATACAAGGACGTAAGGTACCGTCTTTCTTTTCTACAAAAAAGAAACCCGCCCCCGCCGGAGAAGAAGACTTTCTAATAAATCCCTTGTCTAAATTCTCCTTGATATATTCCTCTAAAACTAAGTTTTCCTTGGTGGATAGAGGGTATACCGTACCCCTGGGAGGCATAGTACCAGGGAAAAGTTTAATAGAACAGTCATAAGACCGGTGGGGAGGTAAAGTATCCGCCTTACCCTTGTCAAATACAGATTTGAGGTCTAGATATTGTAATGGTATCTGAACGTCTGTGGATTGAGAAGTGTTAGCATAAGAGTTTACGGGGCAAACAGAAGTAACTCTCTGCAGACATTCTTTCCTACAACCCATACCCCAAGAAACGATTTCTCCACCCTCCCAGTCAATCTGAGGGTTGTGTCTCTTGAGCCAAGAATATCCTAGAACCACTGGGACTGCCGGGGAGGAAATTAACAGAAGGGAAATCAACTCTTCGTGGAAAATACCAACAGTAAGCTTAACGGGTTCGGTCTCATGGAATATTACTGGTTCAGATAAAGGTCTACCATCTATGGCCTCAACGGCCAAGGGTGTATCTCTCAATTGGAATGGGATACAATGCTTATTAGCAAAAGTTTGGTCTATAAAGCTTTCTGCTGCTCCAGAATCTAATAATGCCATCGTAGCAATAAACCCCTTTTCCCAAGCTAGAGAGACAGGAATCAGAAGCCTATGGTCTTTTTTATTATGCATAGAGGACAGTAATGAAACACCCAAGGCCCGTCCTCTAAGGGAACTTAGGTGCAAGCGTTTCCCGGACGATTAGGGCAACTAAGACGTAGGTGACCTCTCAGCCCGCAGTATAAACAGAGACCCTCCCTTCTCCTGTACTGTCTCTCAGCCTCAGATAAGCGAGTATTACCTATTTGCATAGGTTCTGGTGGAGTAGGATTATAGGAGTCAGGGTTCTGAAATGAGGGAGCGAGTCTTACAGGAAGTCTAGTAACTCTTTCCCGAGTGTTCTGCCTCTGTCTCATGCGTTCATCTATTCTGGAAATGAAGGATACTAAATCCTCTAAATTTTCCGGAAGTTCTCTTGTGGCAATTTCATCTAGAATTTCATCAGACAACCCATTCAAGAAAACATCCATAAAAGCTTGTTCGTTCCATTTCACTTCTGCTGCCAATGATCTAAACTCTAGAGCATATTCTACAAGGGTCCTATCTTGTTGTTTAAGGCGTAACAGGGATCTGGCCGCATTAATCTTCCTCCCTGGGGGGTCAAAGGTTCTTCTAAAAGCCGTGACAAACGCAGTGTAGTTGTAGACTAAAGGATTGTCATTCTCCCAAAGGGGATTGGCCCATCTAAGTGCTTTATCTATTAGCAGGGTTATGATAAAGCCTACCTTAGCCCTGTCAGTGGGGTAAGCCCGGGGTTGTAGTTCGAAATGTATACTTATCTGGTTTAAAAAACCACGACAAGCATCAGGCGAACCCCCATATCGTAATGGTGACGTGACATGGGAAGATGCGCCTACAGTGGCTACTTCCAAACCAGTACTTAGCGAGTGGCTAGCAGTGGAACGTATTTCTTCAGACTGGGTACTGGAGCGTGTCAACAAAGTTTGTAATGCTAAAGCCATTTGGTCCATTCTATGGTCCATGGCCTCAAATCTGGGGTCAGGAGGACTAGCACCTGCAGGATCCATCATGGCCCTGTCGTAATGTCAGGAAACTGACAGGGATCCAATACGCAGAGTGCGCACAGAAGGAGGTACGTATACCGGACCTTAGAATGGCCGGACTAACGTAAGGACAAAGCAAGAATAGTCAAAAGGTAAGCCGAGGTCAAGGGAGCCGGAGGACAGGTAAGCGAGATACAAGCCGAGTCAAAGGAGAGGAGAGGACAACAGGACAAAAGACAAGCAAGGGTCAAAACCGGAAATACAAGATAAAGAACGCGCTGAGTGACTAGCAAGCTAGAACCACGACAGGGCAATGAGCAGTAGTAAAGGTTTCCTTTAAATACCCTGTGACCTAAATAGAGACCACGCCCCCAAAAGGTCCGGAATAGCGGTTCCCGGCACTTTATGCAAATGCCGACGTCATGACGTCGACGCTAGCCGTCGCGTCATAAAAGGGGGAGGAGCTAGCGCGGCCGGCGCGAAAACGGCCGGAATATGCCGAAATGCTAGGGGAATGGAGCCCCTAAGCAGAGAGGATGTCCTCCCTGGATACATCACCAACAGGTACCCTGACAACAGGTAGGTGAAGTGACATTTTAATTTCATTTACTGTACATTGTGTTATTATTTTATTTCCATATGATTTTATGCATGTAAGGCCTTATGAAACATTCAAATTTGTGTTAAAATGCTGTAATTTGGGGGGTCTGGAACAGATTAATCAAATTTATATGCATTCCTATGGGAAATGTTGACTCGGTTCTCGAATGAATCGGAACTCAAACAGCCTTCTGGAATGGAATAAGTTCGAGTTCCGAGGTTCCACTGTATATATTAATATAAAAATAAACTTGGAATTAAATGACATATATATGTAATATATATATATACATACACAATAATTATATACAGTGGTACCTTGGTTTACGAATTTAATGCGTTCACCGGGACGTTTCTTATTGTGAAAAATTTGTAAACCATAGGAATGCTTTGAAAACCTATTAATCCATTCTGGAGGTCAGAAAAAAGTAAAAATGAGCTGGCATGGAAACCAACACACAATGCAGAACACACAGTAAAAGGCATGCAAACGACGAAGCTCAGCTCCCTACCTTTCCACTGCATGAGAAATGCACCCAAAAAGTTCAAAAAAGTTCCAAAACCACTGCAAAAAAATTCCAGAATGGAGCCGAAACTCGATGCAAAAGCCGCTCAAACACCTCCACACTCGATGCCACAGGCTACCCACAGACTCCAGCATGCCTACAAGTGGCGCTATAAACCTCCCAGGCACCACTGTATATTAACTATATATATATATATATATATATATATATACATATATATCTATCTAAAATAGAAATAATTAATTTAAAAAAAAAAAAATAATATATATATATATATATATATATATATATATATATAAAACTGTATCTTGATACACACACACCACAAAGATATAGGTAGCCAGCACTCTAGGTGAAGATTTTCTTTATTGAATTGAAGATCCCACAGAAAGTCAACATTTCAGTTCACATTAGAACTTTCATCAGAACATGATTCATTACCTTTTGAAAAAGTCCTCGAGTGCTGGCTTCTCTATTGGAAGTATATATATATATATATGTGAAGGCGGAGCCTGTAGTTGTGGGAGGGGTTAACCGGCCTATTTAAACTCAGACCTACCTCTAAATCAGGGCCAGGTCGCTTCTGACGTCACTCGCGTCACTTCCGGTTCCGGTCCAGCAGAGTAAGTACTATTACGATCAGGCAGCAACCTCCCCACGACTGCAGGGTCTCCCTACCCTACATCATCTTAGCCAGCCCTGGGACCGGGCCCCCCTCCGAGGCATTTCACCTCCGGTCATATCGCCGGAACACTTCCGGTCACGTGACACTCTGGCCTCGAACCCCATAGTTGTGGGGGGGGGAGCTGGAAGGTCGTCAAGTTTCACCAGCACCCCGTTTCACCAGCACCCCACGCCTCCGGTCTTCCGCGGCCTCGTTCCCCATAGTGGCGGGGGGGGAGGAGAGAGCTGGAAGGTGGGCAAGTTTTTCACCAGCACTTCCCCCCCCCCCGATCACCCTACGTGCCCCCCCCCGACGCCTCCGGTCATAAGACTTCCGCGGTCACGTGACACTCCGGTCACATGACACTCTGCCGGTCCAGTACTCCATATTTCTCGCGCCGGTCTCGCGGGGGGGGGGAGCTGGAAGGTTGCAAAGTTCACCAGCACCCCGGTCACATAGCGGAGGAAGGGATATATAAGGGAAGGAAGGAAGAAATAAATAAATATAAAAAAAGTTTTGCCGTTCAAGGGGCAGGGAAGTTACTCAGTATAACACCTGCCACCCCTCCCCCCAAGTTTTCAGCAATTATGACGCCTCCAGCCACCACCCCCCCCTCCCTCCTTCCATCCGTCACGATCAAAACGTTCTAGTGGTCTAGCTAGGGGTCTGGCAAAGCACTACCACGAGTGCCGACGGCCAGACCCTCATCCACACGAATCACACACACGGAAGGGCAATCTGCTCACAGTTAAATCCCTGGGGTTTCCTATAAATAATACTACAAGCTAAATAGTATATTTCTTATTTCATGCACGTTACGCTTTTCCCACCCTGACAAATCTACCTTCAATCACGTTTCTACCACGTGTCAATCTCAAATCATATATATATAAAAAAAAATAAAAAATTTTTAAAAATTTAAATTCTATTCACATACCTGTTTTGTCTAGGCTACCTTTTGCATACTGGACACAACAATCTTGGGATACCACGCTACCAGTAATACATAGGTAAGTAAGCAACATGGTCTTGTCGGTCCAACATCTATATCTCGGTCACACACTCATTTTAATTTCACTTAGGCTCTAAGGGACAACGCATAGTCCTCCCTTAATATCCACCGGACAGGCTACGCAGATCGAGCCAAATCTGGCAACCCACATGCCATATCAGTTCGCAAGACGCTAATTCTTCTCCATAGGTCAACGCTATCGTGAGAAAACTCGCTTACCAAAGTAAGTATCTCGTTTTCCGCCTTTTTTCCCCTTTTATAGTCACCCTGTCAGACACGCACCTGACAGGCCAACAGGTCACAAGGCCCACACTACGGCCTCAATTCGATCACGTTTCCTAAACCACCTTCCTCTCTCAGTGGACAAGGCCATCGAACTCGCCTTTCAAGCACAACACCCCCAAAACAGGGTCATAGTTCACTCTACGTCACACGTCCTTGCGCTCAAAAAAAATTGGTCCTCACATCTAGACCACTTCGCTCACCGACTTCACGGGCAAACTCTCCATATTCACGTACGAGCACGTCAGTCACCCCCCCCGTTACAAGGCACTTCACTCCCTACATAAAGAGATAAATTATTCCTATAATAATATTCACCCTAGTCGAACCATCATCCTCTAATTGATGTACTTACTCACGTTATAGAATGTCACACGCTTCGGACATAGCCGAGGATGTCTCCCTACCCAGCACCCCAGCCAGGGTCGCTAGCCCTACCAGACCTTGTACCCCAGTGGAGCTGGTAGAGACGGCTAGTCCAGCGTCCCTACGCTCCTGGACCGTTCCCAAGATCGCAGCTGAGCTCAGAAGACGAGGCATACCATACCCGGCCACGGCCCGCAAAGCGGAACTGTACCGCTTCCTGAACAATAACCCCGACACCCCGCGACCTGGCACCAGTACACAGGCTATCGATGGGAGCACGCCTGGACTTCAGGCCACCATGTCCACTCTTCTCTCTTCAGTTAATCTGATCAACGAGAGACTGAAGAAACTTGAGAACCAAGTGGCCTTGATCAACCCAGCTAATGCTCCCACCATGCTGCCACAGTCACTGCCTAACCCGGGTAACAGCACTCTTTCCGGCCCAGCACCTGCCTCCACACACATCATCACACCTGCCCACTTAGTGCCCCAAGCCATTAAAAAAGACATCCTAGAGGGGAAAGACGTCAACCTGGTTTCACTCCTCATAGCATCCCAAGACTTGGTAGAAAACAAGGCTTACTGCTATGGGGAAGTTTCGGTAGTACTCAAGGCTAGGGACCCCAGGCTTAACAAGAAACTGGCCATCCCCGATTTTGTAATTGCTTTTGGATTGTACAGGGATGTCATTTGTTCCGTCTTCCCTCAACGCAGAGAGGAACTGGACCTGTACCTCCACAAATTGGTGGACTTAGGCAACAAATACGGAGGCTACTCTTTCTATGATTATCATAGGTCATTTTCGGCGAAGGCGGCGGCAGCACTGGTCCAGTTTAACATACGCTCAGACTGGAGCCAACTGGATACGGAACTGTTCTGCCGCCACTTCGCGGGCCTCAAGCCTCCGTCCTGTGCCATTTGCACGTCCTCTGCACATTCCACCAATCTGTGTCCCTCTGAACTAAGCCAACCCTCCACAAGCCAAGCAGAGCCCACCCCCAAATCAGATAGGGTCATCAAAGACAAACTGGGCAGGCCCATTGTATTCCTCGGCAAAGCACAGGTATGCAATAACTTCAATGCGGGGGGCTGTAGCTTCAGCGCTTGTCGTTTATTGCATGTCTGTTCCCTTTGCTTTAGGGCACACGCAAAGACCATGTGCCCTAATCGGCTGTTCCCTAGACAATGACTCACGGAGATTAATGTTGGCAACCTCACCTATTATCTTTCCAATCACCCCTCCCCTCACTTGGTCGAGTTCCTCACAACAGGCTTCACGATAGGATTCCACACAGGGCTAGTGGCAATACCGGGAGGCACCCTAGAATGTAGGAACCTACAATCAGCCTTACAAGATCCCGTCACTACGAACGCACTACTTACAGCCGAGGTCAACCATGGGTTCATGATAGGCCCATTCATACACCCCCCATATGCCAGTTTCAGAACTAACCCAATTGGCATTGCTACTGGAAAATTCAATAATAAAAAACGCATCATTATTGACCTGTCAGCGCCTCATTCATCCGTGGTTCCTAGCATTAATTCATTGATTCCGTCTAGCGAATTTTCACTCCAATATGCCACAGTGGATAATGCAATGGGAGCAATCTTGAAAGCAGGTAAAGGCGCCTGGTTAGGAAAAACCGATATCACCAACGCTTTCAAATTGCTACCCATACACCCATCCCTGTGGCATTTACATGGAGTAAAATGGGAGGGCCAGTACTACTTCGCCACGCGTTTGATGTTTGGGGCCAAAAGCAGTCCCAAACTGTTCGACACGTTCGCTGAAACACTTTGCTGGTTATTACTAAATGTGTGTGGCTGCCCGGTAGCAATACACTACCTGGACGACTTCCTCACGGTTGAAGAACCTAACCGCACCCCCCACAGCTTAGACAAAACGTCTGCTCTTTTCTCCACACTGGGGGTACCTATTTCAGTAGAAAAAACAATAGGTCCTTCTACAGCCCTGACCTTCTTAGGCATCCATCTAGATTCCATATCCATGGTAGCGAGTCTCCCAGACGAGAAGGTAACACGCATAACCAACGAAATCTCATGGTTCATGCAGAAAAACTTTTGCTCTTGCAAAGAGCTACAGTCACTTTTGGGCTCACTTAACTTTGCGGTCCGCATCATACCGCAAGGACGGTCCTTCATTTCACGCCTACTTCACCTCCTGACGGAGACCCCCCACGACAATACCCACATACTCATCGACGTTAACGCCAAAGCAGACTTACGCATGTGGGGCACATTTCTCTCCTCCTGGAACGGGAGGTCAATGTTCATACCCCCACTTGACGTAGATTCCCCGGTCGTGTGGACCGATTCAGCAGCCCACACAGGCTTTGCAGCCATATACAACAACCAGTGGTTCCGGGGTGCATGGCCATCCGAAACTTCAACACTACAGGCGTTTAACACCACATCCTCACTTTTCGAACTTTACCCAATAGTGGCAGCTGCACACACTTGGGGCCCATTGTGGGAGGGCAAAGCAGTCAAATGTCTCTCTGACAACGAAGCCACATGTGAAATCATTAACAAGGGCAGATCCGCATCCCTAGTCATCATGAGACTCATGAGAAGACTCACATGGCTGGCAGCAACTCACAACTTCCACTTGGTTTGCATGCACATACCAGGCCGGGAAAACATTGCAGCTGACGCTCTCTCTCGTTCCAACTTTCAGGCCTTTTTCGAACAGCATCCCACGGCGGTAGCCATACCTGTGCCAACCCCCGCATTTCAGGACCTCATTATGGATTGATAAACCTGAAACAGCATGCACTAACGTTGGCTAAAGCGGCTCTATCAGATAATACCAAGAAATCCTATGACAGAGCTCTTACTATTTTTTCCAGGTTCACTTCCGAACACCATATCACCAACACCTTCTCCTTAGACACGATTGTTGCTTTCACCGCGCACTGCCACCTACACCTTAAGCTTGCCCATAACACTATAAAACTCTACCTCACGGGCATTCAGCACCACTTACTCACCATGTTCCCCAATCACAAACCTTTCATGTCATCCTATCTCTTAAAAAACGTCCTAAAAGGAATACTCCGCACTGACGGCCCTCCAACAGCCAAAAGACAGCCAATTGACGGCAATAAATTCAAGGATCTATCAGATCTATTAGATTCTAACCCATTCGAACCTAGCACTAACAACGTACTCAAGACGGCTATGTACATAGCGTTTTACGGGTTCTTACGGCCCAATGAATTCACGGTACATAATCTATCAGTTAACACAAGCTACGTCAGAATTAGGGACCTACAAAAATCAGGGGACCATTACATACTGCGCCTAAGACGTACAAAAACAAATCAGGTAGGACCGCCTACAGAAATCCAGTACTTCCCGACCCATAACAAATGGTGCCCGGTGACAATCCTGGATACTTTCTGCCTTTCCCTCACAGACAAACAAAGCTACTCACCCTTACTCACTATCGCCGACAAACCTCTGACCACGGCTAAATTTATACACTATGTAAGGGCCTTGGCGGTCAGACTAGGACACGACCCCATGTCCATCTCAGGACATTCATTCAGGATCGGCGCCGCGTCAGCCGCTTCCAGCAATAACGTACCCGCACACATCATTAAAAAACTAGGTAGGTGGAAATCAGCAGCTTACAGGAAAATACATTCCACAGCCAGAGAAGGAACTGAGGAAAGCTTTTAAAGAATTGCTCATGTGAATGTTACAAACATTAAAGTGTTTTTGTTTGAAACCTTTTTGCCCTCATTATTTCAGGCCTACCCGATCGTTGGTTCAGGCACACCACAACCAACTATCAGTCTTCACCTACGACTACACTTACGGCTTTATATCCCCGACTACAAATATATATTCATATCAAAATACACTTAGAATGAAATAAAATATATACATATAAATATATAAATAATTATTACAAAATATATACATACATATAATTGCATAAATAATTACAGAAATAAACATGTAGAACTTAAATAGATATGTATTAACATTAATTCAAATTCTACATGTATATTTATGTAATCTTTACACATAATTAAGTGATTTTATTAATTACCATTCGAGGGACCTGTCTGACAACCCAGGCAGAAAGTCCAGAGAACTTAATTTGCAAGTCCTATATTTTACCCTGTAAGATTCCAAAACACCATAAAACCTGTACATGCCGGATACTGTTTTACTTGGGAGACTTCGTTGAACACAAATATTAGTGTTTCAAAACAGTAAAATGTTTCACAATGATGATATTGCCAGTTAAAGTGCCGATTTTTTGATTTTTCACACACAAACAGAACTTTCACTGACAATATAATTGTTGTGATATTTTTTTTTTTATTCTTTATTTTTGTAGTGCAGTTAAGAAAGAACATACAGCAGGTCATGCCCCGATAGCAATTGACAAGAGGATCAGGATACATAGTTTACATGCAATAAGGAAGTGAGTTTAAAATGCACCATTTTTTTAAGTAGGTATAACAACAGTATCATGAACATGCTTTTGTAATCTATCTGTGACGGTAGTAACTGGTATCACCATCTATTATTCCTTTTCCCAACAGCAGAGTATCGCCTAGAATCCACAGGAACAAATATGGCTGATATCGCCAAATAATCCACACATGAGCCAAAGCTTAATGCTAGAACAAGACTGATTTACTGGAAGCAACAGGCAGTCAATTTATACAGTACAAGCACCTCCTCTGGGCCAGGCTAGATAAATGAGTTTCAGCAACATACTAAACTCAATTGTCTGCTGGCCAGAAATATTAACAATTTTCAACATTTTTAGAAATATACTTTTTACATAATATAACAATATAAAACACCCTGGGTAGCTGAGGATACTGGGAGTAACATAT